TGGAGGACTTCTCCCTTTGCCTACAGACGCTCATCAGCAGGCTGAAGAGCCACGGCGTCACCATCGACGAAGAGGAGGCGGTCTCCAAATTCCTCCACTCCATGCCAGCAAAGTACATCTAGATCGCTCTCTCCATAGAGACGATGCTGGACTTATCCACCCTCACCATCGAGGATGTGGCAGGCCGTCTACGGGCGGTGGACGAGTGCCTAGAGCAAAGCGACGAAGAACGGGCGACAGCGCGGAAACTCCTGGCCGACGGAAGAGAGTGGGCTGCTCGGCGAAACTCGGAAGGCGGCATCCTCCGGTCGCGTGGAAAGCGACAAACATCGCGGCAGGGCTTCTTCGGAGAAGAAGCAAATCGACTCAACGCCTGCCGGTGTTGCGGGAAGATGGGCCATTGGACGCAGGAGTGCCCAAATCGCAAGAAGGGAAAAGAAGGCTCAGCTCACTGGTGAAAGCCGATGATGAGGATGAGGCCACTATCCTTGTGGCGACGTTCTGTGTACTGCACGACGTCGAGGCCATGGAGAGGGAAGAGGCAACGACGGTGGAAGGATCTAGCAAGGTCCTGAAGACCGTCAACCTCGACGAACCACGCGCCCAAGTCCATCTTGGGCATGTGGGCATCGACCAGAGCAGCGGCGATGGTATCTAGACTCGTGTGCGGTAACCACATGACGGGCTCCAAGGACTCCTTCTCTGAGCTCGACGGTGATGTTACCGGTACGGTGAAGTTTGGTGATGGCTCAAGGGTGGCTATCCAAGGACGTGGCACCATCATCTTCAGATGCCAGAACGGGGAGCATCGCGCACTAACGGATGTATACTACATCCCGCAGCTGCGTTCCAGCATCATCAGCATTGGTCAACTGGATGAGCGCGTTAGCGAGGTTCTGATCAAGGACGACGTTCTAAGGATCAGAGACCGGGAGCAGCGACTTCTCGCCAAGGTGAAGAGGTCCCTGAACCGGTTGTACCTGCTCGACCTGAAGGTAGAGCAGCTGGTTTGCCTGGCGGCAAGGCACTCCGAGGAACCGTGGATGTGGCATGCCTGGTTCGGACATCTTAGCTTCGACGCGCTTGGTCGGCTGGGGAAGATGGTCCGAGGGCTACCCCACATCAAACACGGAGGCGAGCTGTGTGATAGCTGCCTGACCGGGATGCAGAGGAGGTTACCTTTCCCAAAGGCGGCCAAGTATCGCGCGAAGGAAGCTCTCGAGCTAGTTCACGGCGACCTCTGTGAGCCGATCACGCCTGCTATATGCGGTGGTCGGCGGTACTTCCTCCTACTCATGGACGATTGCAGTCGCTACATGTGGTCGCAACTCCGACGAAAGCAAGGACAAAGCGGCGGTGGCGATCAAGAAGTTCAAGACGCGTGCGTGGAGGGCGAGAGCGCAAGAAGCTCGTGTCTCGAGGATCGATCGGGGTGGCAAATTCACTTGGTGGAGTTTGCTACGCATCGCGCGGATCAAGGTGTGGGGCAACATCACACGCGCTACCGCACTTCGCCACAATAGAATGGCATGGTGGAGCGACGGAACGGGCGGTGGTCGGCATGGCCCGATCCATGATGAAGGCCAAAGGATGTCGGCAAAATGCGGGAGAGGCGGTGACCACGGTGGTGTTCATCCTCAACCGCGCTCCAACCAAAGCCCTAACGGGCAAGACGCCGTTCGAAGCTTGGTACGGGTGCAAGCCGAACGTGTCATTCCTCCGGACATTCGGTTGCATCGGCCACGTCAGGAAGATGAAGCCAAACCTCACCAAGCTAGAGGACAGGAGCACACCCATGGTGTTCTTGGGCTACGCTGGAGGGTACCAAGGCGTCACCGGCTCTATGACCCACGCGGAGACAAGGTGGATATCTCTCGCGACGTTGTGTTCAACGAGGAGGCGCTTTGGGACCCGCACAGTCCGAGCACGGGAAGTGGGAGGCTTCACCAACACCTTCGTCGTCGAGCACTTGGTCATCCACGGCGGTGGAGAGATGCCATGGAACAGGTGCCACGCGACTCGGGAGGAGCGCCGAGCACTCCGGCGTGAGAGTCGAAAGCACTTCGGGCAAGATACCGAGCACCGGGAGGGATGCCGAGCACTCGGGAAGAGTGTCGAGCACTTCTAGAAGGATGCCAAGCATGCCGGAGTGGAGCCAGGAGGTTCTGCAGTTGGTGGCGACCACTTCAGACGGGTGCCGAGCACTCCGTGGCGAGCCAAGACGCTTATTGTGGTTCGACCACTCCAAGACTAAAAGGTGGACACTCCTATAGTGTGGCGAACACCTGAGGAGTTATGACGAGCGATCAGAAGCGATGTCGAGCACTTGGTGCTATCGCGAGGCACTCCCGCGGAAGAAGGAACTCCATCACCCCGATCGAGTTTACCTCACCTCCAAGTGATATCACCGAAGTTTGTGGACGCCTACCACGAAGGTGAGGAGTTGAGGTTCGCGCAGCTGGGACGACATCGTCGCGGTGCACAGTCCCTCAGTGTCTGGCGGGTAGGCTGCTCAACGACGCAGAGCTGCTACTCGTCGCTCGAGAGGAACCACCCACGTTCGCACTAGCCGAGCGCGATGGAAACTGGCGACGGGCAATCTTTGGAGGAGATGAAGGCGATCGAGGAAAAGCGAGACTTGGTAGCTCATCGATCCACCCCTAGGATGCCGTCCAATCAGCCTGAAGTGGGTATACAAAGTCAAAAGGGACGAGCTCGGTGCCATTTTCAAGTACAAGGCGCGCCTCGTCGCCCGAGGCTTTGTCCAGCGCGAGGGCATCGATTTCGAGGAGGTCTTTGCACCAGTAGCGCGTATGGAGTCGGTCCGTTTACTACTTGCTTTGGCGGCAGCAAAGGACTGGCGCGTCCATCACTTGGATGTTAAATCGGCCTTCCTCAACGGCGAGCTGGCGGAAACGGTCTTCGTCAGGCAACCTCCAGGGTTCGCTGTCAAGGGAGAAGAGCACAGGGTGCTCCGACTGCGCAAAGCGCTCTACGGGCTGAGGCAAGCCCCTCGAGCATGGAACGCCAAGCTTGACACCACGCTGGGCGAGCTTGGGTTTCAGAGGTACGCAACCGAGCACGTGCTCTACACGCGACGACGGGGGAAGGAAGAACTCGTGGTCGGCGTGTATGTGGATGACTTAATCGTCACCGGTGCACGCACGGAGGATATCAACAGCTTCAAGCGAGAGATGGCAGCTCGTTTTCAAATGAGCGATCTCGGCGCTCTCTCCTACTACGTCGGCATCGAGGTGAGACAAGGGAAGGAGGAACTCACGCTCGGGCAAAGCGCGTATGCCTCCAAACTGTTGGAGAGGAGCGGCATGGTGGAGTGCAAGCCATGCGTGACTCCGATGGAGGAGCGGCTGAAGCTGACAAAGGATAGCACCGCGGCGAAAGTAGATGCAACACTCTACCGGAGCATCGTCGGCGGTCTGCGCTACCTAGTCCACACAAGGCCGGATATTATGTTCGTCGTGGACTACGTCAGTCGCTTCATGGAGGATCCCAGAGAGGATCACTGGGCTACGGTGAAGCGGCTACTACGCTACGTCAAGGGGACGGTGAATCATGGAATCATCTTCCCAAAGACCAGGGGAAGTAGGCTGCAGCTCACGGTGTTCAGCGATGCAGACATGGCGGGGGACATCGACGGACGACGAAGCACCTCTGGCGTACTCGTCTTCCTCGGGTCAGCCCCAATTTCATGGCTGTCGCTGAAATAGAAGGTTGTGGCGCTATCTACGTGCGAGGCAGAGTACGTAGCGGCGGCCACAGCGGCGTACCAAGTTGTGTGGCTACGCCGGCTGCTGGGCGAGCTAACCGGCGTGGAAGCTCACCCACCAGCACTGATGGTGGACAACCAGCCCGCCATCGCCCTCGCGAAGAATCCGGTTCCGCACGACCGGAGTAAACACATCGACGTGAAGTTACACTTTCTCAGGGACTGTGTTGATGGAGGGCAGATCGTCATCGAGTTCGTTGAAACTGCTCGGCAGCTCGCGGGCGTCCTCACCAAGCCGCTCGAACGACTTTGACTCACGGAGCTGAAGAAGATGATCGGCATGGAGGGGTACAAGGGTTAGCAGTAGGATTAGGGGAAGATTGTTAGCTAATCTACTGCCACCTTGTGTGAACACAGCAGATAAAGGCGGCGCCGACTTAGGCTACTGCTTGTGTGTGAAACACACAAGGGAAGGCGGCGCCGACTTTGCCCCTCTTGTGTGATCTGATGAGTCATTTGAGGTGCAAAGCGCCGCATGGCTCACCTGCGCAACCTTTGTTGAACAGCGATGGGGCGTAGCAGAGTCACCTGTCAAAGTTATCTAGTTATTGTGTGCGGCATGGGCGCGGCGCACATGGACTAGATAGTTAGAGTTGTATAAATAGACATGTATGACAACTCAGTAAAGGGAGCTCAGATTTGCTATCACACAGACAGGGCCTCGGCCAACGTTGTTGTCTTGTATTGTGCGTGCTTGCTCTGTTCTCCCTTCTTCTTCTTCTAGCTCGATCCGTAGTGCGTGGGTACGGACACAACCGGTATAGTGGTCTGGGAGACTAGTGGTCTGGGAAGACTAGTGGTCTGGCCTGGAAGACTAGTGGTCTGGGAGACTAGTGGTCTGGGAAGACTAGTGGTCTGGCATGGAAGACTAGTGGTCTGGGAGACTAGTGGTCTGGTCTGAGACTAGTGGTCTAGAGACTAGTTTACTATCGCAGACGGTGATCCCGTGGGCCAACATGCTTAGCCTTTGTTAACATTTAAGAAAAAAAATGCACCAGATGCAGCATGGGTTCTTTTGTATCTTATTCAGTATTTGAGAAACTCATTGAAGTATGATAAATTTTCATTGTTTACCTACGTTATTGACTTGCTGAGATAAAATAATTCTTATCCAAATTGACATTAAGCTTACTCAGGAAGCTAATGCATATAATGTATTTAACTTTTACAGAAAGTTTAACTACTAACTTTTACCCATTTTATTGCTGAGATATCACGTGAATTTGGTTCCAGAAAAAAAATAGAGTGCAAAAGGTTCGTTAGATAAATAACCAGGGACCTTGATGTAGTCTCCAACTACGACTGGCCTTGAAAATTGTAGAGAGAATCCACTCAGCATGTTACCAAGGATATCTCTTGCCGCAAAAGCAGTAGCAAAACCTGTAACAACATACAGAAGAGAATATTATTCCCTCAGTCCCGCAAATACAGGAAATGCTCACACAAAGAAGAACACTAAATGTTAAAACATTACCTCCAACACCACCAACAGTTAATATTGACTGCACAGGTACACCACAAGCTTCAGCAAGAGCTATAACTCCAAGTGCCATCAGTCCTAGCGATGACACCTTATCAAATGCTGACAATCTTTCACGGTCAATTCCTGTAGCAGTTTGTTTGGCCATAGCATGTCCAATGAAGTTAGTCTTCCACCTGTGAAGGAACCACACAAAAGATACAGCAAATGCCCCCTTGTATGCCTGTGGAAGATAAGCTGAAATGCCTGGTTCAATAACTGCAGCCCTAAGGAAGAAAGAAGACATCAAAGACCTATTCAGAATAAAAGTGTAACCAGAAAAATGATCTGCATCATAGTAGTATGGTTTGTATAACAATACCACCGAATAAAACAAGATCATGTCAATGTCAGTATGAACAAATATAAAATACCATATATGACCATGAATTTTCTAGCACGTATAGATATATATTGCAGAGGAACATCATATATATGAGTCTACTTTAAAAAATACACAGCATATATGAAAGGAACATGAAAACTCCCGGAACATGGTTTTAACCTCAAAAGCATTCGGTGAAATTTCATGGTCAATAATGTTTTACAATAAGAAGGTACTAAGGAAATAATGCTCTCAAAAGGTGAAATAGCAAATAAGTTCTCACATCTGCGAAAATGCCATAAATGTGATCATATATTTTGCAGGATCTTCCAGTGCACTCCACAAGCTTGTTTCATAAGACACATGTTTCTTAGAAGAGTGTCTCCAGAGTGTCCTGAGAGTACCTTCTGATGCATACTTGTGCATCTTTCTTAGAACAACAGGCATTACAAACCAAGCCATTGCTGTACCAATCAGTGTCCCACCAAGTGTAACGATTACCTTTTCTAGATCTCCATGATTACCAAATAACTCTTGGTCATGAGTTTAATTGCATCATTCAGATACTTCACGTTGTTGCCTGCAGTAGTGCTAGCATCAATAGCAGAACAATGAGCATGTTCTGACATTTGAATCCAGGTGTTCCCACCATCATCTGTGCTATCAACTTTCGAAGCTCCTGTAGAAGCAGAAACCTTTGACATGGCAACTAACAAAAAAGCCCCTGCATTGACTCAGATTACAACATGCACATTGTCAAATTTACATAACTGGAGATCAAGCGCTCACACACAGTGACAAAAACATTGTGGAAATCAAGAAAGAAAGCATTTCAAGCACATAGAGGAAAAGCTGATCCAAGCAGTTTAGTGGTAAGGCGTGCACTGTGCACTTGCTCAGGACCCCCCCAAACCTAGGGTCCAAACCATTTTTAAAACCAGTATACTTTGTATTAGGACTAATCAGCAAATTAGATGTATGGTAAATATATTAGCAATAAAAAGAGTCTTTATCCTTCGGCCAACCAATTCCTTAGGCCCATGCATTTTTCCTACCTCTAATTAATCCCCACTATGTTAGAGTCACAACAAGGTATCTCTCTCGCTCTCCCTTTCGTCTTTCCAATCAGCGATCGCCGTACCAATTGAGAGAAATTTCCTCTGACAAATTAACTCCCATCTTAGTGCTTGCAGGAGAGTACGTTTTAGGTAAGAGCAGTGTATCATATTAGAGACCGAGCTGTTGGAGGAGTAAGATGTTGTCGGTAGAAGGGAGGCTTATTCTTATTAACTCTGTTCTAAGTAGTCTTCCCATGTTCATGATGTTCTTTTTTGAAATATCTAGAGGGGTGTTGAAGAAATTGGATTATTTTAGATCACGGTTTTTTTGGCAGAGCGATGAACACAAGAAAAAATATAGATTGATAAAGTGGAAGGTAGTATGTACACCAAAAGACCAAAAAGGATTGGGAGTCCTAAATCGAGATGTTCACAATAAGTGCCTCCTAAGCAAATGGATTTTTAAATTGTTAAATGGAGACTGTGTTTGGCAACAATTGCTTAAGAATAAATATTTAAGGGACAAAACTTTGACACAGTTACATGCTCGGAGACTCTCAGTTTTGGGCTGGCCTCATGAAGGTCAAGGGTGAGTTCCTCTCGATGGGTAGGTTTGATCTAGGTGACGGGTCTCAAGTGTGTTTTTGGGAGGATTCGTGGATAAGACCATGCCCACTTAAAACGCTCTTCCCTGCATTATATAACACTGTGAGGAAAAAGAGTGCATCTGTAAGGTCAGTGTTGTCTATGACACCATTAAATGTAGCTTTTAGGAGATCTCTGATGGGTGCTAATTTGCAAGCGTGGCACAATGTGGTGGCTGTTGATGTTTCACCACCGATAGCCTGCCACGGGGGTACCCGAAGCAGTTTATTCGGGCTTCAGCGTATGCAGAACTCAACGGTAAACGCAAGAGACAATCGATTTATCCTGGTTCGGACCCTCGATTGTGATCGAGTAACCTACGTCCAGTCGGCGTTATCCTTTACGTTGGATTGATGGTAAGGTGTTGTCTCCTGTCTCTAGGAATCATGTCCTCCTTTATATAGTCAGGAGGCAAGAGTCCTAGTCGGTTTACAATTAGAGTTTCTAATAGAATTACAGAATAATACTACTACTAAGATTACATGGGAAGAATTCTAGTTGGACTAGATCTTCTCCCTTCATTACGGGGTATCCCATGGGTCCCACACCGATAAGCCCACGAGCACTTCATGGTTGAGCTCTGGAAGACTCGTCTTGTTCCTTCAAGTCTTGCCGAGTAGGAACAAGCGTCGTCCGAGTGCTTTCTTGAGCAAAACCGTGTAGCACTTCTTGGGATATTCGAGTGGTTTGTGCTTTTTTGAAGAAAAAGTATACCCATCTGGGTGTAGCCCCCGAGTCTCTTGCTATTTGGAACAAGGAGCTGGAGGGTCTTGTTGAAAGTGCATCTAGCCCTTTAGTGAGTTTTGGATGATTGAATGACAACGTAATTAAATGTCTAATCCGTTTGCTAAGTGTGAACAGGTAATAGGTTATCTCACAGGTACTTAATGAAAAGCCAAAATGATGTGTTGTTGTATAAACAATCTAGTTCTAGCACAAGACAACAATGCAAATGGAATTCATGCAAAGGCTTGTTTATTGTGGGATTTCCATGTACTATGTGAAAGCAAGCTTGTGAGAATTAATTAATGAGATATAAGAGATTACATATGAAATGGTCTCATATTTGAAGCTTGCTCAATAAAAATGAAAAAGATAACAATACATGAATGGATGATTCAACACAAGATGTGACTTGATGGCTTGAAATGGTGAAGATAGCAAGGAAAGGCTTCGAGGTACTAAGCAAGGGTGAAGGGCAAGCGACAGCTTGGCGGCCAAAGAACCTAGCTAGGGTGAAGAAGGAAGTACTTGCATTTAGTTGAGGTACTAATCAAGCTATGATGGCCATATTGATGTGAAGGATCAAATCATTATTGGAGTGTTTGATGTAAGTGACTTGATATATTTTGGATTATTCAAATTTGATGAATGGAATCAAGCCACGTGCTCAAGATGGCTATGCTCAAGTGAAAAAGATCAAAGTTGACATGTTAGCACCCTCACTTGATGAAGTTTGGAATACACGGCTTCGGTTAAAAGAGAACAACTCAAAAGGTTTAAATCCGTTATACATTTAAATTTTGAGTTAATAGGAATACCGTACTATTAAGAGGGATGCATCATGTTGATAGATAATGTTTCATAAGTGCTCAAACCAACCCATGTGAGTTTTGAGTATTTGAGCGACAAAAGAGCTAACTTTATTTTTGTTGGTCTGGTAATACCGGACGTGTCCGATATTTGCCCAGCAGTGGTAAAATTGTTGTTCTCGGGTTGGTTCGTCGGGAGTTCCGACGTCTCGCACTTTAACTGACTTGGAGGGTTCACTGTCCTGGTCATACCTGACGTGTCCGGTATTCATACCGGACGTGTCTGATATGCACGACCAGAGGCCAACGACTAGTTTTCAAAAGCCTTGAGGGTCGGGAGTTCCGACGTGAGTCGGGAGTTCCGACACCTCACATACTTTAACTCAGTTACATGGTTTTCAAATTTGCTGAGGGTCGGGAATTTTGACGTGAGTCAGGAGTTTCGATGGTCGGGAGTTCCGGCATTCATCGGGAGTTTCCGACGCCTCACATTGTCTCTGTAACTTAGTTACCATTGGTGTAGTGTAAGTCATACCGGACGTGTTCGGTATTGCAACGGCTATAAAACAGCTAGTTTTTAAGGGAGGTTATAAATACCCCCAAGCCTCCACCTTTGGAGGCTGCTGATTCTGCTGATATAGACACATGTTTTTAAGTCTTGCCAACTCTCTCAACCCTCTCTTAGTGAGTGATTGATCAAACTTGCCAAATCAAATTGTGGGTTGAGTGAAATTCAAAAAGAGAGTAATCCAACCACTTGAGCACTTGTGCATATTATCTATCTCGTGATTTGCATTTGTTACTCTTGGACTCTTCGGTCCTAGATGGTTAGGCGTCGCCGGAGAGCACCCGAGAGATTGTGGTGTGCCTCAGAAAGTTTGTAATGGTCGATTCCGCCGCCTCAAATCAATTAGTGGAAGGAGGAAAAGGAGTTGGAAAAGACTCCGGCTAGAGTGACATTCGTGGTACCCTCTAGGGCTGACCTTCACTGGGTCGCCCGTAGCCCCCTCAACGGAGAGTAGGACTCGAACGAGTCCGAACTTTGGTAAAACAAATATCGTGTCTCAATTTGTATTTCATTTGATATTTGTGTTGCTCCAGCTCTTGTGCAAGTTCTCTGTGTATATTGATATCTCTAGTAGGTACCTGCAGTTTGGTTTGAAGATAGAAATCGAAAGGAGCAAGTTCGTGGCTGTTCTGCAGAAACCGTGCATACCGGACACGTCCAGTATTCATACCAGACACGTCCGGTATTAGAGCTCTGTGCTGAAAATATTTATTCGTAGTTCTAACTTTGTGTTGCAGGGTTGTAGCTTCTAGATACATTCTTTTGTACCTTGTATACTAGGTGGCTAACTTGTGAGGGGTGGTACTACTCTTTATTTGGAGTTTCAATTTTAGAAACTCCTTTACTATTTGTTTCCGCATTTAAAGGTGTTAATTTTCAGAAACGCCTATTCACCCCCCTCTAGGCGGCATCCTAGGTCCTTTCACTTGTCTTGAAATTGCTCTCATTTTTCATCGAAGTGCTCCTGAGCATATACCCGGGTTCTTTATCAAAAAGAATTTAGATATAGCTTGGTCTGGGTTCTTTTTGTCTTGAGGTCTTGAAGTGGTCTGTCTCGAAGAAGTCTTCTTGGTGACGTCCGCTTTTTCGAAGAAAAAAGTGCACTCACTGAGTATAGTCCCCGAGCCTCTTGCTATTTGGAACAAAAAGTTGGAGGGTCTTGAATCTTATGTTGTTTGAAAACTGCTGTCTTGAAGAAGTCTTCTGAGTGATGTGCGCTTTTTTGAAGAAAAAGTGCACTCACCGAGTGTAGCCCCTGAGCCTCTTGCTATTTGGAACAAAGAGTTGGAGGGTCTTGAATCTGAGTTGTTCAAAGAACTGAAAACCTCACCTGTTGTAGCCTCCGAGCATATACCTGGGTTCTTTTATTCAAAAAGAACTCGGATACAGGATCATGGCATGTTCTCTGATAGTCTGCTGTTGTCAGATGTAGTTGTATGGTGGTGGTTGAGAGTAAATACTGTTTGTTCAGGAGTTGTACAGTGTTGGTATATTCTTCCGAAGATGCTCGTTCTTGAGTACTGTTCCTTCACGCCTGAGTCCTCTTTCATTGAATTCTGTCTTTTCACTGTGTCCTTTGTTACATTTGTTCCATTTGTGCTCCCGGTCCATGTGCACCGCTTCTTTGATTTATAAATACCCTCTTGGTGTGCTGTTTTG